TTACTGATAAAAATTTCATCTCATTCGGTCGACAATTGGCGGAGATATTTAAATTTCTTATCGCACAGTTGTTTATGGACCACCCTGTATATATAGATATAGATATTTGTATAAGACTTTTTTTTTACTCTTGTAATAATTGCTCTTTGTTGCTCAACATTAGCTGGTGGTTTAGCTGTAATTAATGCAGCTGGAACCGATATAGGCATATGTGAAATATTTTCTGAATTAGATAATTCTATTGATTTAATTGTTTCTTCAGTTTTATTTGTTGTTATTATTTGATTCGAATATGCAGATCCTGGAATCTATAATATAAATTTATTTTTCAGTTTTAGAATGATTAAAAAAAAATAACTAAAAACCTGTAATGATGTTGAACGTTCAATATTATTATTATTATCATCTTGTTTTGTAACTTGAATATTTTCACTTGATTTTCTTATTAATGATTGTATATTTAGTGTATTTTCACTAGCTTGAAATGTACGTTCATTACTAGTTCCATTATAAATAATTGTTCGTTCAGATTTTTGTTGTTGTTGATTTATTGTTGTATCATTATTTAATGTAGTTGATGTTTGTGATGATATTGTTGTTTGTTTAGAATTAAATAATTTTGCTGTTGGAATATTTCGAGAATTTTTTTGAAAATTAGCTAATAAAGCTTTCTTCCAATTTTGATTATTATTACTTGCTGTTGATGAAGTACCACTAGTTAAAAATGGTGGTGTATTAGGTAAATGTTCACCTATAGTTGATGTTTGACCAGGTATTGTTGAATCATCTTTTATAAGACCAGTACGAGGAAATATATTAATAGCTGATGTATTTCCAATATTTATTGGTGCACGCTTAAACAATAAGAAATTTTTGTTATTTTAATTATGAAAATGAAAAAGAAGATATATTTTACCCATGTATCCATCAGAGATATAACAATGTCTGTAGCTGAAGTACCTTTCGGTTTGAAAGAATCATTATTTATTGGATTTATTATCTTTGAAAATAGAACGATATTCATAGAGAATATATACTTATATTAACTTACATTTATTTCTGATGGTTTTATTATTCCATTTGGACGTTCATCACTAACAGCACGTCTTGCAATGGGTGGTGATGGAACAGAATGAGCCCAACGACGATTATCATCTTGTATAGAAGATGTAGTCGTCGTTATTGCTGTTGTTTCAGAATCTTGTGTTCGTCCATTTGATAAAAGAAGTGGATTTTGAATTTTCAGATTGATAGGTTGTTTTTCTCTGTTTGCTATTATTGTTGTTGTTGAAGGTGTTATTGTTTGAATATTAGAATTTGTAGATACTATTGAAGAATCACGAGATGGTGGTGGTAAATTTGTATTTATTGTTGTTATTAGCTGTTGATTCGGTACAATTTTAGGACGAAAAAATGGATTTGCATTGTAGGGAATTTGAATTTTTTGACCAACATTTAAAGATGTTGGTTGTCTAATTCGAATAAATAAATAATGTTTTGAACAAAAATAAAAAATATCACCTACCCTGAAGTATTAACTGATGTTCTATCATTATCTAAAAAATTTTGAGAAGTAAAAAAAAACTATAAAAAATGAAAATCTATAAAGTTTACCAGATCTATCAATGAATTTTGATGTACTATTCGGTGAATTAGAGAATGGTTGTTGTCGCGAAAGACGAGTATTATTATTTGAGTGTTCGGTTGTTTCATTATGATGATTAGTTATAAGAGCTGTCTTTGCTCTTATATAAAGTCCATTTGGTTGCTGCTGTTGATTAGATGAATCCTGAGTTGGATAAAGAATAACACGTTTTGGTGGTTCACGTGGAACAAATACAAGGCCATTTCTATTCATTATCTTTTGTTTTTCTTTTGAAATCAATAAAGTAATTTAAAAGCACCAAAATATAAAAAGCACCATCATTAATTGTCGAATAGTCATCATAAGAGATTAATAAGAACAACAAAAGAAAAGATCTATAAAAGAAATACAATAAAAAGTTTCTCTTTTCTCCTTTTTTAACGACGTCGCACATGTTATGATGATCATTATTATCGATGTTGTCAAGGTATCCATATCAATCAAAGAAAGATCAAATGTTAAATTAATATTTTCATAGTATTGTTGTTACACTGTATGATTAAAAAAAAACGAAAGAAAATTAATTTTTTAGTTCTTTATGCTGTTTTTATAATTTCCTCTTATGTAAATTGATGAAAACTGATAAGTGGCGCCACTATATTTACGTTTAATATATTGCTGCTGTAGCAAAAACCTTGAACAAACAAGGATTATTGTTTATTCAATTAATCAAATATAATGAGAATTGTTCTGAATAGATGTATTCGAAAATTATCAAGAGCAAAATATGTAAATAAAAAAAAAAAATGAAAAAATTTAAAGTTTTCAATTAATTGATGTCTGTCAATAAGCTTCTTCAAGATCTCAATGAATTATAAAGCAGAAATGAAAAAGAAACAGAAATTGTAATCTTTATCGCTTTTTTTTTCTTAATTTTTTTCGCTCATGTCACACATTCCTGTTTGAATGCATTTCATTTCTACTATGATGATCGCAGAAAAATCTTATATGAGTGAATCCGTGAGGTTTCTACCACTTTTGTGGAAAAAAAGTTTTTTTTTCACTTTGAATAGTCTAGTTAGATGTATCATAGTCGAAAATGGTCTGAGGCAACCATTAAAACCTTTTTGGACATATAAAGTGTGGAGAATCAAGTCATTTTTTAGGAACACTCCGCACACATAGTGTCCTAAAATAAATTGTTAATCATATATTTCATACTTTTTGTTGGTATAGAGAGCTGAAATTTTTATCACATGTATATCTAATCAAGATCTTTTATTTCTGCATTTTTCAGCTCTCTAGATAAAACTAATGGTGAAATACATCGACAAGACTTAAATACATGAAGTTTCGTACTTGATTTTTGCATATTTTTACTGTTAAATTATTGAAAAAATCGAGTGCAAACTGGATGCATTTCACTATTAGTTTTAGCTAAAGAACTGAAAATTTCAGAAATAAAAGATCTTGATTAGATATACATGTGATAAAAATTTTAGCTTTCTATGTCAATAAAAAGTATGAAAAATATGATGAACAATTTATCATCAGTTATTATGGGTTGTTCTTTATCAGTGTGAAGTGTTCCTAAAAAATAATGTGGTTCTCCACATTTTATATGTCCAAAAATGTTTTAATTGTTGCCTCAGACCGTTTTCAACTATGATACATCTAACTAGACTATTAAAAGTGAAAAGAAACCTTTCTTTCAGAACATTGGCATAGAATACTCTTCTTCCACAAAGTGGTAGAAACCCCACGGATTCACCCATATAATGATTCTATTTATCTTAATCTTCAATCAAAAACGAATTATTATTTCTATGATAATTTTTAAATTAAAAGAAAAAGAAATATTTAGTAAACATGTAGCTATACTTATGAAAGTTAGTTTGCAAGAAGATTCCGTGATTTACTAAGAAAAAACGAATAGACATTTTCTTTTGAATACTACTTAAATCATATCTCTCATTTCTTATTTCAATATCCATGTCGCACATTTTTATGCGCACTACTAGTAAGTATCACGAGTTAACTGCTATAGTGTTTTATCCAAAGCTTTCCTTTCGTAGAGTCAATCCGATTTTCGAACGTGCACTGTTCCCTAGACCTTCGCACCAAGATATGACACTGAACCTTCTATAGTTTACACTATACTAAATGGAATATATCAGCAGCTCTTGTTCGGTTCGAACCACATGGGTGTGCTTTTTGTCTGAATTATTTTATTTCAAATTTTTAACAGTTGAAAAACTAAAAATCAAAGTTTCTTTTATCTCTCGATGTCATATCTTACATGTTTTCTAATATAAATATAAGCGGTTTGGCAAAAATTGTAAAATATTCTTTTCTTTGCCAACATTACTATAAGGAGAACTAATATATGATTTTTATTCTCCTATGAGAAAATACAGACTTCAGTTTTCAGCAAACTTTCATTAGTATTAATTCAAAATGAAACAACATCAGAAAATTTATTGATTGTGTTATGTGATTAAGTAGAAAGTATTTATTACTCGTTCAAGTTTATGTTATTTTTTCAAGATCATTTTCAAATTCTAAGCAAATATCTAACGGATTTTGTATTGATAAAACGACTCTCCGTCAAATGTGCTTTCAGAATTTACTACACATCTTTGGCAACAATTTCTATTTGTTTAACAAAAAGCGTCTGCAGACATAATAGACTTGTTTGTTTGTTTGTTTTTTTTAAGTGATCGAACATTTTCTTGCTGATTCATTTTATAAAGTGTTGTTTGCATTACAAGCAAGAAGATAAATTAATTCTGTGAAAAATTTTACAAAAAAAAAAAACAAACAAACAAACTTGACCTGATCATAAATGCATTTTGTAGAATACTTATTTTAAAAATGAATGAATCCAAAAAAGAAATATCGCTTTTCTCAATTTGTGTCTTGTTGTCTAATCAAAAAAAAAAGCATGTGTCATCATATTATATATAATTAATCGATAAAATCTTTTGAGTATTGTCTAAGAATGAATTATATTTTAGCAATAAAATATTCCTTTTGCACAAAAACTAATACATTAGAATAGATCTATAAGACGTAGATGTCATTCATTGAATCATATAATGCAGTCCAAAACAAAAAATTGTTTTTCTGTCATTGTCTAAAATCATAGCTAATGAAAGTTGACGCAGAATAAGGGTATTCCTTTAACTGGTGTTCCATATGCAAAACCAATTTTGTAACTGAGATTTTCTCAAAGGAACAGCACTTTTCTGGTTTTTCTCGGTAAGTGTGTGGGTGAAGGTAGACGATTGAAACGGAAAAGTGCTTTTCCATTGAGAAAATCTTAGTTGCAAAGTTCTTCTACATATACGATGGAACACCAGCTAAAGGAATACCCAGAATAAGTTCAAATATCTTCTCATTGGAAAGTAAAAATCATTCATTATTTCTTCCATTTAAACATTTACCTAGGAGAATGTGTTACAAAATTTTTGTCACACCCATTAATCTTTAATTCATTAATTAAAGTTTCTGTTTGAAATTTTTTTTTCTGGATTATTCTGATGAGACACATCGGAATTGATGTATTAAAGTATTATGGTTACTTCCGATCTAAGAGCTTATATACAATGAATTTCTCTTTTTCATATCTTACCTAATAGCTCCATCTGTGTATCATCTTTTTCTTTCGTTCTTGTCTTACCTTGTTATATTCATTCATTTTTTTTTAGGGGTTAAAAATCTTTCTATTGAATCTAGTTTTTATTCAAATGCCTGATCATCATTCTTATCAAGATCCATTCTATGGATGGACTACACCAAAAGCAATATCATTATGTGTACAAAAACTTAAAGAATATAGTTCATTACCATTTGAAGCAATTCGAAAACTTATTTCAAGTAAAAAAACAAAAAACAAAAAACAAATTGTTCATCTATTGAAATTTCTCTATATGATTTTAGTGAGTGAAGCTCAAATATTAAAAGAACAAACATCATCATCATCTCTTGAAGTTTTAATGAAATTTTCAAAAAATTATTCAATTTCTATTGAACATTTATTAGTTATTTTTAATGGTTTTGTTCATGTTCTTCGTTTAGCATTAAAACCACCAGCAGCATTTCTTAAATCAGATGTAATAAATATATTATTAATTATTAAAGACTCATATAAAAAATTCTTTTCTCTAATTTTAGATATTCAAAGATGATTTACGTGATCTAAAGTATAAATTAATATACATCTTTAAAATAGAAATAATATCTTATGTTTTTATTTAGATTTTCCGAACCAATAATTGCAGAATTCAATAATATTCTTTTTGGTTCTAAGTATGTATATACAATATCTAAAGTAAATTTGCTTTCATTAATTATTTGTTCAATGATAGACGTGATCAATTGTATAATGCTATTCAAGAACGTGATCGTCCACATCTTCCATTGCTTCAATCATTTGATTGGAATCTTGATGTTACTCTAACTACAGCGTATGCATTAAGATAAAACTTTTCCTTTTTTTTTTTATCTATTATTTACTTTTAGATCTTTATCACGTTGTATTGAACCATTACTTTTTTTCCAATTTCGTACGACTGATAATCGATGTTTAACATTTGAAGTAAAAAAATAGAATGAATATTTTTATCTTTTGTTTTTAATTAAATAAATTATTCTATATTAAGGTTCCAATTAAAAAATTCAATGAACTACGTTATAATACAGCGCTACTTCTTAAAGAAATGGAAGAAGTTGATGGAAAACAAGCATTGAAACTACTTGAAACATAACAAAAAAGCAAAAACCACTTCAATATTCCTGTTCTATTTATTTTGTCACTTGAATAATTACATACCAATCATTTCCTATTTGCCATATTTTTTTTTCTTCCTTCTATATGATTGTTGTGATTTTCTTTTTTTTTTTTCGATGAACAAAAAAACGTGAATGACATGGAAATCAGTTGATATAAACGTTGATTAAACTCTAGAGCGTGCAATTTATTCCCTAAAGTCCTAATGTTATATGACCTTTCTATTTCTTTTTTTTTTTTTTCTTTTTTGACTTATATTAAAATAAAGTATAATCTAATCGTTCAACCGATCGATGATGTACGCATTTCGATCAGTAATCGAAGAAAAATGTTGATGCGATATGTCACTGGAGACTCTGGTCGTTAAAGATGAACTTAATAGATGTAATGTATGCATTAATGGAAGAGAAAGAAAAAAAAAAGAAAAAAAAATGCTTGTTTAACACAATCTCGTTCTACCCTCTAGCATTGTTGTTGTAACTTGATCAACGGATGAAGAAGGAAGAACATGCACGAAACACATTAGCAATCAATTTTCGGAATGTAGCCTAGTTGCCTGTTGTAACTATCACAGTAGACAATGCTGTTACTGTATTGTCATTGTATAGAATATGTAAATGAACAAAATATTCATATATTTATCACCTGAGAAAATTAAATTGTCTTTTCTTTTTTCTATGTTCTTCATCTTAGAAATTTTTAATGAAACGACGGCACATGCCTTTATATTCATAGAAATGTAATGTCAACAACACACTTTTATCTTAATGACAAATGAGATAAGTAAGAAAAGAAGCATGAATATTTGGCACTTGACAGTAGTTCTTGCCGGTGAAATCGAACGCAGATGTTGAGCATGAAAATTTTTATATACAGATGATGTAAAACAATGTTTTGGTGCTTCATTACCGAGATTTATTTTAGCAAGATTGAGTATTGATTGTTGACACATGCGTATTGTATCCGTATCATAATAAAGACATGAATGTAAAATTAAAAGAGATTTACAATTGTAAAATTGTTGTTGATTATCATCTGATGGATGAAAACGTTGACGAAAAAGACAAGTAACGACATAATTTTGACAGATATAATCATCGATCGATTTAGCAATAGTTAATCCTCTATTGTCAAATGTTGAACATGATGAAAAGATTATTTGAAAAAAAAACATAAAACATATAGAATATAATCGAATAAGATTGTAATTTATATTATGTGTAACAATCGAATAAGAAGGTAATAATACAGGTAAATGAAATCGTATATAAATCATGGTTTAAGATGAATGATCTAATAAAAGAAAAGAAGAGAAGAAAAAAAAAAAAAAAAGAATAAATTTTTTTCTTATTTTTAATTTGTTATATTCAATCAAAATGAAGTAGACATCATTTGTTGTTTATGGTTATTCTCGTTGTGCTTGGCTAAGTTTTTTAATAACCTTTCTAATGTATGTGATGGTATTCAAGAGTGTATACATTAATGAAATATCTTTCATTCTGTTACGACATACCTAGACAGACACATGGGAGGCGGTACAAGTGTGAGATTTCACTTTCTATTACTTACATTTTCTTTTTTTTTGCCGTCTATATAATTTGACAGGTGATGTAGGCATATGTGAACCGGACAATACATTCTTTTATGCTTACATACACACTATCATCAGTCAGTTATTGTTCTCTTATCTACTAGACGTTCAAATTTAGATTGGTAAGCGTCAAAGTTTAGAGCGATGATGGATGGTACATATATATAGACGGACAACGATATTTTATTTAACTAACACAATCAAAGAGAGAGATAGTAATGAGAAGAAAAAAAAACTGAGAACCTTGTTGTCTTTACCACGTTGATGTGCTACCATTATGTAGTAAGAGAGGAGGAGAAAAAAAAGTATTGAACATGAACGAAGACCGGAAGACATTCACACATAGAAGGCAAAAAAAAAGAAAAAAAAAAAGAAAAAGAGAGCGACAAAGAATGTCGTTGCGCTAACATCACTATCGTCGTACAGTGATAATGGACAAGAATCGAATTGATGAATGAATTAACGCGTTTTCTCTACAAGCGAAGGAGCCAGTCGTCGTTTCTAATTTCCTGTTTCCGCCTAAACAAGCGCGTCTTCTTACTTTAAATATATATATCCAGTAATATACATATTTCAATATGAGACCATAACTATGCATTATTTATTCTTGTGTTAATAAAACATCTTCAACATTAATTAAGTAGTATTCTATGTACAAATCAATCTATCTAAAATTCTTATTCAATCATCAATTGAATTATAATAGAATTGATAAAATGCTTTAAATGTCATTATATTATTACGATGTTGTCAATATTAATCTGACATTATCTAAAGCATGTGACAAATTTAAATTTGATTCTTTTCTGAAATTCGACATAGACAGACAAGAATCAACGAAATTCTAGATTATAAAACTATAATTATTCGAATTTTTAGCAAAGATTCATAAAACAAAAGATGAATAAAATAATAGACAAGTTCATGTTCATCTAGAAACCATATGATGTCCATATAATAAAGACATATATATAAGAGTCTCTTTGATTATACAGTTTGATATATAATGGTTCAATGAGATCAATAGATATTATTATAGTGTACATTGTTGTCTTGTCTATTATTCTAATTTCTAGAGTGCAATAATAAAATCACAGTACTGTATAATATTATATGACAACAAAAAAGTCCTTCTCATGCCGAAACTAATTCGTTTAGTTCACAAATATTGTCTATTTCCAGTAGTAATTAATAAGAATATTTCTTCAATTCATCTGTATATTTTACAAGAAGACATTTCTAGATACATAGAAAATATTTCGACATATCAAACTTTCATAAATTATCTTTTGAAATAGCATGCTAACTAAAACTTTGTATTGAAATTTATGATTGTTTCAGACTTGTATAATAAAAAGTCTTTTGATAAAGACGATGTCATTATTTGTACATGGTAATCACATAGCTCTGCAAATATTTTATTGTCCATACACAAATTATAGAAAAATAACAAAAAAAAAAAAATATCTACATTTGGTATAGATATTCATTCTTCAAGTTTAGCAAATACTTTTGGTTTAGAAAAAATTTTAATAGCTTCATCTAATTCAATAATTTTCTTTTCAATTTCTTCTTTTGTTCGTCGAAGTGTTAATGAATCATTACGAATAGGTAAATGACTTAATTTTTTTTCAAATTCAGCTCGATCTAATCAAAAAAAAAAAGAAAAAAAGAACGTCCATAAAATAAATCAATTCATATTATATTATTCATTACTTAGTTCAAGTTGTCGTAATGTTGATAAACGTCTATCATCATCAATCTTGACATGACCAATAGGACAATCTGGATCGGGTGCATTAACATGTTCATATTCGATTTCTCGTGCTCGTTCTTCTTTTTCTTTTTCAATACTACAAAAAAAAAAATATCAATAGATAATTTTTTTTTTTTTATAAGAATAAAATTTACTAATCAGGTACACGTCCTTTTTGTTTTTCATAATAATGTTTTAATTGTTGTTCTTTTTTTGCTCGTACTTGTTCAACAATTTCTTCACTCATTGTTTTACGTACTTTTGGAATAGTTTTTACATATTGTGAATTTATTCTTACATAATCAGGTTTTAATTTATCATCTATATGTGCTGTACTCTATAAAAATTTAAAAAAAAAAAACAAAACAAATTCGCCTTTTCTTTTTCTTTTTTAATTATACTAAATCAACAGATGAAGCTATTGATCCTCGACGTGAACTAGATACAGATTGTGATCGAAGAAATTGTGGTCCAGTATTTTCATGTGCATGAAGAAAATTACTTCGAACTGATTGAGGTCGAGATAATGAACGATGAGTATCCTATAAAATACCAAAGATAGATTAGTTTTACATAAGATAATAAACGAATATTTTATTGATCCATGTATCATTTTATCGAGTAAAAACCGTACGATTCATTTAATTATAAATTTCGCACGAGTTAAAAAAAGATCACGTCTATAATTTATGTAGATAAAATCAAGATTTAACTGACGTCTAACGAACGAAAAGGTTAGGATTAATATTTTATCTGCTCTTTAGGCATGTTGTATTAATCTTGTCACTTGCTTTTTTTTTTTTAACTAAATATTAAAGAATTACGTCATTAATCTTTTTTCGATACACTTCTAAAGACAATCTTTTAACATCGTAATAAAAAAAAAAAAAAACTAAATGAAATAAATTTAAATATTATAAACTAATTTTCAATCCTAGAAAAACAATGATCATATTACTTCGTCTAATCTTTGTTTAACTTTTGATTGTATATGATCATATTGTTTAGAATGCCAAAGTGCTTTAACAGGTATTGGTTTATTTTGTTCTTTATTTATTTGTCTTTGTCGTGATTCTCGCATTACATGTCGAATTCTTTTGACATTTTCATTTAAATGATTTTTAGGTGGTTCTATGTGTAAAAAAAAACGAAATATCGGTTTTCATTACAAACAAAAACTCAATATTCATACTTGCTGTTGTTCCCTGTGTCGTTAAAAGACCTGTTCCTTGAACTTCAAATAGAAATTGAACACCAGTACCATTTGTTGCTCGTTTATAATTTTCTTTTGCATCAGAACCATGAACTCGAGGAATACCATGAGAACCACATGGTGCACTAGAGAAATATATGTACATATTAAAGTCATAATCGATCGAGAATTTTTTAATTTGTCCAGTGCGACTGGTTTGTTTGATCATTATTAATTGAGTAATGAAAATGACTTCAAAGGACATTCATTTTCTTTTTTTTTTACAAATCTTTACAAAGTTATGTGATATTTCTACATATAGCGCGGGAAAAATAAGAGTAATTTACCTATGAACTGATTACCAAAATTTCATGCCTTGAATTTTCTTATTCAATTTTTTCAAATAAACCTAACTTTTCTCTTCGAACGAAACTTCAAGTTTAAAGCATAGTTTTGATTGTATCTTCTTAGAAAATGAAATGTACTTTGATTACAGTAATAAAATAATGTAGGAGAACAATAGCAGAAATATAAAATGTTGTACGACTAATGAAAAATCAGATCGATTACAACTTTGATGTATATATTTTATGGTTTGAAGTGAATTTTTCTTACCTGGTAGCACGAGTATCATACTCATAGTCTGGTGTTGCTGGAATAGGACCTGTTAAAAGTGGTCGTCCTGAAAAATCAAGAATAGAATTGTATGACGCTTTCTGGAAATTAATTTCATATACCTTCTGAATTATTTGTTCGATTATCGAGTTTTTGTTGTCGATTATAATTATTTGTAAGAGATGAATCTGTTTTATTTGACCATTGATATGGCTGTTGAGATACGAGCATGTTTAATCAACAGAGAAAGTTTATACAAGACATTACAATGAATTTATTCTCTTAACTATTTCTTTAGCCATTAAGGATGTTATTACTATGGGTTTAGATCTATAATCTGATGATAAAGATTTAATATGATATAAAATTAAAACTTATTTAATTAGGATTAAGACTTTTGAAATTTGTTTTATAAAGATTAACATTTATATTTACATATAATACATTTTCTAATAGATGTCAGTATATAAATCTTGTTTCTTAGTGCATGAATATGGATCAATAAGAAATCATAGAACGTTATAGTTCTTTTTTTTTTTTATAATAATAACTATATTAGCATCTGCTGATTGATTATCCGAAACGAAGAAGAAAAAAAACTCAAATATATTAAAATAAATTTTCAATAGTAACGAGTATTTCTTATCATCCAATCAAAATATTGATTATTAATAATTAATCTATTTAAATTATTATATGTTCATTGAGTTTAATTTCTTTATAGGTCGAATATTTTTAATATTAATCATGCGCATATTCATTATCGGTATAACATATTTTACATGAAAAATCTATTATTTTAATAAACAAGATTTAAATGATTTTATTTATTCAACAATTATTTTTTTTTTTTTTTTTTGCTATTAGAATTATATGATAAGGATGTGTTGTCTTTCATCAGTTCGATTATTTAATATGTCTGGTAAGATAGATAATCTTCTCATTAGAATAAAATTCATTTTATATAAAGATCATAGTATTTGGTAGATATAATGATAATCTATGAATGATGAAATTAATCAAACATTATGTCAACATGAATGATCAATAAAATTTATTTTATGACATTTTTTTTTTCTTTTTATAAATGTGTCATTTAAATGAGAAACATTATCGACGATGAAATGATTTGAGAATATTGAAGTTTTATTGAAAAAAAAGATAAATTTTTTTGAACAAATGCATTACATTTATCATGTTTTATTTTATGAAATCTATTAATCATTGGCAATGTTGTCATTATCGAATTCTTTTATTTTCCAAGATATTTTCATCAATGTTTTCTAGTGAAGAATTGACATTATTTCCTGCTGTTTCTTCATTAAATAATACAAATAGAATAGAAGTTTGTTAACCTGCTGATGCCTTTTGTTATTTAAGTAGTATCAATACAATAAATGAAGAATATCATTTAATGTCATGAAACAATGATGATTAAGAGCAAATTCTAACATTTTCTCATTCATGTTCTATAGTTTATTAATAGAAAATTATGATTCTTATGAAAGATTTATTTATTATCAAATAAATACTTTATTAAATACACAAAATTATTCTCTTGTTTTTTATGACAAGAAAAATAAAGAATTTTATTTTTCAGAATATTTTGTATTGTTTAGATTAATCGATGTCGATTAAACAAAGAAAAAAAAACACACACACTGTTATATCTATGCAATATTTATAGCGACGAAAAAAAAAAAAAAAACCGCGCCCAAAAAAAAAAAATAATGCAAAAGAAAAATTCTTTTTCTTTTTTTTTTCTTTCCTTTCATCTCGCCTCGTGTTTTTATTACTAGTCCATGACAGTATCTATACATTTTTTTTCTATATAGCTTATTGTATATATAACAGATATATAGATATGCGCCCATTTTTATTTGAATATGTAAGAGAGTAACTACATATTTCCTTGCGGCAATTATTTCAATAATATATATTACATGAATGCATCGAAGAATTTTACATAATAAAAAAAAAGAGAAGAAAAAAAAACTCTTATCTTAGATGTTTTTCTTCCTCATATTTATAATATTCGTGTATTTCGTCTTTTTATTTATTCATTTTCCATCGAACATCATATACGCACCTTTTTTTTTCGTGTGAAAAACATTTTTCACTGCCGGGTTATATCATTATTTCTTATGTTATATTATTGATACAACATTAATATGATTATTGACAAGAACATACTAATGTCTTGTTTGACGTACAAATACTGAAAAATTGTAGTTAAAAATAGTCAATATTGTTCTTTTGAGTAAAGATAATAGAAAAAACGACAATTTAGATATATATCTATACATATATTATTATTTTTTTTTCTTTCAGATATATGTTGAACAAATATGAATGATATCGAAAACACACTAAGACATATTCAAAGTACTGGTAATCCTAGGGATGATACTCATGAAAAAAGGTAATGTATTGTTTGATTATTTTCTAGACAGAAGAAAAATGATTGCAAAAAAAACACCTGTTGTTTTCTTTTTTTTTTTGATAACATGTTTAAAAGAATAATTTCAAATTCATACGATTAATTGATATATTTATTTCAGTTGATACGCAACTACGTAAAAAAAGATTCATCTTGAATATTAATGAATTGCAAAAATATTTTACGAGAAATATTATTTTATGTGATACAGATATTCTAATTACAAGATAGCTTTATTTTAAGCATAGATTTTGATCATACCGGATGGAAAAAAATAAAATTTCGAACATGCAATCTTTTTCCGGCGGAACTAAACTAAAAAATTTGATTAATCAATAGAGAAGAAAATTTAAAACAAGAGATTCTATTGCTAAGTAAATAATATTTTTCTTAAGACGAGATTGTTGTTTTTACATATATATAATATATTTTAAGAGATTTTTTTTCTTATCATGAATTCATAAAATATTAATGAGTTGAAATTTGAATGAGAATTTTTATCATTTAAAAATTAACAAAAAAAAAAAAATAGATACAAATAGAAATTTAAATATTAGGTTTTTATTCAAAACTTTTCTATTAATAAAAATCGTATCTCGTAAATATATCGATAAGGTCAATATTTTATTCGACCATAAATAAATCTGCAATCAATTTCTTCGTTCGCTTTACTATATGAAATAAACAATGATAATTGTTCTCTCGATAAAAAAGAAACAAACTTCATACACTTCATGTTCAATTCAATAAAATAAAAGTTTATTCTCTCATTCACGATTAATATTTATATATCTTCAATCATTGAGAATACTTAAGATATTTCGACATTATCTAAATTTTAATGAAGTTAATATTATGTTTTAATTCTTCTAATTTGTTTTTAAAAAGCCTTTTTTCCACTTACTTTTTATCGACAACTACGATCGTTTCTGTCGTTTGTAGTAAAGCCCATTTCTATCTGCGTCTGTTTTTTTTCTTCTCTTTATTGGTGTCGATATTTCAACATCGACTGTCTTTTACCTTGTTAACTTGTATGTTTTCTTTTTCACTTTTTACGAGAAGAAGCGTTAGTCAAAATAAATCAATATAAAAAAAAAAAAACAGAAGAAGGACATCGTGTCTGTAAGAAAAAGAAAAGAAAAGCAGCAAAAAAAAAATGCCGTTTCGATTCAAGTACGATCGCGCATCCAATATATACATAATTATAAGAATATAAAACAGTAATTTGATAACACAAGTTCAAAACGAAAAGAAAAGAAAAGAAACGAAACGAAATCAATGTCTTTCAGACGCTCTTCAACAGGCACATTACCATACAGGTATGTCCAAAATTGGCTGAAAATTGCCGTTCCGCATTGTTTATCACACCTTATTATTAATGAAAACGGGGGGCCTAAAAATTGCAAATATAACGTAAGGAAGTAATAGAACAAAAATAATACATATTTTTGTACAAATAACAATAATAATGTCGAAAAAACAAAATAGAGCGCGTTAAGATATTGAAATATTGTAATGAGTCAGTTTTGGTGTGTTTGTCGAAAAAGGTAGATGAATCAAGATGAATTTCATGAAATGAATATTTTATTTTTATTTTAATCTAGACGAATTCAACGTCAATTGACAAATCCTATTCCAGAAACACAACCGACTACAACCGGTGGTAATCCATTAACAACTCTTGATCTTCTTCAATCAGGACCATCAACTAATAAAAATAATACTATAACTACTCTTGCACAATCGACAGCTCCAAAACCTAGTTCAATTGTAGCTACACCTGGCGCTGGAAATTCAAATTCATTGCCTGGTCATCAATCTGGTCGATCAAAATTAAATACTCATCATCTATTAGATCAACAACCATTAAATATATCAGACAATGTAAATTCAATTATTGTTTTCTTTTAAAAAGAAAAACAATATTTTGATTTGTTTGTTTGTTTGTCTTTTCTAGTTAAATTCAACTGGTAATGACGGTGATTCTAATATAAATATTTCTCCATCATCAGCATTATCACGTAAAAAAAATTTATCAACATCTGATCTTGATCCATTTGAACGTAAAAAACAAGCAGCATTAGCTAAAGTTGAAGCAAAATTAGACAAAGCACAACGTTTATATCAAAAAGCTCAACAAAATGTTGAACAAGAAATATCAGATTTTCTTCGTGTTACAACAATACCAAATACAAATAATGAAATAAGTTCTTCTCGAACAACAAATGCTACATTTGATAAACGTATACGAACATTACAAGATACTAAAAAAGAATTAGAAAAAAAAATTGCTAATTATCATACTGATATTTCACGTATACAAGCCGGTGAAATACCACATAATTATGCATCATCAAAAGATATATTTAGTAATATAAAAAGTACAGCAGCTAAAGTTGCTGGTGGCAGTTTAAAACATCGTTCAGGAACTAATACGGATCAAGCAATAACTGTTTCAACACCAAATACAACTGAACAAACAATACCTTTTCATTATCCAGAACCGGAGAGTCATTATCTTAATCCAAATTTATCAACACCATTAGTACAAACATTATCACAATCACCGTCAACCATAACAACAACATTCACAAGTGGACAGATAAATAATAATCAAAATTTATTATTACAAAATCAACATAGTAATATACATGAACCTACTCATTCAACTGTATCAAGTTCGGTATCAAATGAAATTGGAAATTCTCAATTTTATATTGATTCAAGTCGTAAGTTCATTCGATAGAGTAAAATTCATAGTGTATAAGAAATTCGTATATAATTTTATACGAATAGAGATCATTTTCTTGAAAAATGTAATTATATACTTTGTTAAAAATCGTGACATATTTGCTTTAAGCAAACAGATGGAAATTCAAAAAATTTATTTTCAATCTACTTTTACTAAACATTAAGGATTACTTTGCTTGACAGCCTAACATATTTCTTATTCAAACTTTTGATGAACTATTAATCACTAATTTAACACATTTGAGCATGTTTTTATATTATACCTATTAATTTTAATCATAATTTAAAAAATAAGAAAAAAAAAAGGATCAAATATAATTCATTTCAGCATGTTTGTTCTATTCATGACATGAAATCTATGTAGATTATTTACTTCATGCTCACTAGTAGATTTATTATATTAGAATTTCTTCATTTGCTAAAACACTTATTAATCAAAGTTGGAATTTAAGTTTTGTCTAGGCAAAATTAGAATATTCAATTTATTCAATAATATATTTTTATTTCACTAAACAATTTACAAAACAAAACATTTTAAGCTATTCACACCAACCATCCTATTTTAAATGAAATTTTGTCTATCAAAAAGCTTTCATTTTTTTCCACAAAAAAAACATTTTTTTATAGTATCATAGCATTTACAAACCCAAGTACGACCGATTTAGATATTATTTCGTTAGATTTCAACGTACATATTTCTATTTATATCCCTGATCAATTCTAATTTTGCCTATAACATATTCATTTTTTATTTTTCTATGGAAATAAATCTTTTTAAAAGAAAAGGTCAAGTTTATATTTGTTTTAATTATATTATTTTCTAATTAATAGTTGAACATATTTATGACAGTGATAAATCAAGTCGAAAACACGATACAAACATTCCAGGTAAGCATTGATTATATACATGTATATATATATATGTATGTCGTAAGTCAATCTCATTGTCAGGTCAATCCTGGATTGACTTATGACATACATATATCTAAACAAGTGTGAAATGTAAAGAGAAAATTGAAACAATCTAACTAGCACCTTAGGCCGCCCATTACCTGTAATTCGTTTTACTCCAAGTAATTGTAAGTAATTATTAACGACCTCATGCTCAAATATAAAAGAGTGCTTATAAAAATGAAAGATTATCTTTGCTATTCTTTTTTTTTTTTATTTTTTCTTATTTTAAAATTTCTCTATATTTTAGCTGATGGATCAACAATACATGATAATGATAAATCACCATTAACAACACAACGACGTTTTACGTAAGTAAATATATATTAAAGTATTCATCATTGTATTTATTATTATTATTATTTTAGTGATGACTCACTGGTTGAATCGAATGATCGAACATCAGATCAATCAGTTGATGATCGATGTACTAGTAGTATATCAAAACGAAATATAGCAGTAAATATTATTTTTCTTAGAAAGAAAAAACTTATTTATAAAAAAATTTTCTATTAGACAATAACAATGGAATATCAACAATTAAATACTAAACTTGATTCCATGCAAAAAATTGTTGATCGATATGAAACAAAAATAAATGAAATGCAAAAACAAATTGAATTATTAATAATAGCAAATGATACTCAACGTGAACAAAATGAACGTTTAAATAATGAATTAACAGATTTAACAGATTTACATCAAATGGAAATGTCATCAATTAAAACAGATTTAAAAAATTTAGAAGAACGACTTCTATATAAATTTAATGATTATTGGAATGAATTACTTGAAAAATTAGATAAACTTGATACAAGAGTAAGTTGTCTTTGTTGTTTAATAGAAGTTTTTCATTGTTAAATCGATTGATTAATTATATTAGTAGAGATATATATAGAAAAGAAAAAGATGTCAAAAGTAATTAAATGTACGCAATCGAAGTTTTTATTTTTTGGAACTTGATCCCTACTTAAAGAAAACAACTTCAAATTTTGCTCACACTAAATCTGTAAGAAAGTCTTCAATGCTCATGTTTGAACTAATTCAGCCGACGTATATCGATCGTCTCTCTTGAAATTTGCTTCAATGCTATGATTTATAATATAATTCATTCAAAATTATAGAAAATTTAAGTACACTTTTTTTTTTATAAAACAGGATTCGGTATATTCTTTTCTATTGGTCTCGATCTCTCTGACTGTAACTGAGACTAAAACTAATGTCGCACATTTCTAATCATGAATATAATTAAATGTGAAAAATATTCGTTTTGATATGCAGTCAAAATTGTCTCATATTTTTGTATGTACTCAAAATATGTAATCGGAAAAAAAACTTATCAAAACTTAAGAATTGTAGAGTTTCCTCATTAAGATTAATTCAGAGCATTGTTTTTGTTCTTTTTCAAACGTATGCATTATACGAAAATCAGAACGATGAGTATAGAAGCTTAAGCACGGATACTCAAGTACGGAATTGATAAGCACTAAGAAACTTTAGCACGAGAACATTCAGAGCCAAAAAAGTAAAGCACGCAAAAATAATAAACGTAAGTATGACGTCTATTGAAAGAACGATTAATATATATGGACGTGAATGTTAGCCTTCTCTAGACATGCACCTAGTTCCAATAACATAATTTCATACTGCAAATTCATCTCATTGATTATAAACTTCATTATTTAACTACCGCGCTACAAACATAGAAAAATGTCCGTCTTTGATAAACAAACGAAGAACGATCCGATAAACTGTTCGGTTTACTAAAAGATTGATAGAAAACTAAAAAAAACTACCTTATTGACTTGAAGTTTTGTGATTGATTCTAGTACTTTAGTCTAAGAATGTTACCCACATTCTTCTTTCCACATTGTCTAGTATAATTGCCTTCCCCCTCTCCACTTAAATTAACTACCGACAATAAAAAATTCTATATTACATGGTTCAATAGGCAAATAATGTTTTTCTTTATTGAGTTGAAAAAAACCTCAAATTGCTTGAGTACATGTGTCGTCCTCTCTTTATTTCCATTCACATCCATATGCTTTACATTCATTTTTTGTGTGTGATTAGCTTTTCAATACTGATCATTCTTGTGTTCATCGTTCACAATGCCGTATATAAACTGTAATGCCCTTCGAATTGTATAAACGATGTAAATATATTAGATATGCTACCTTACAGAAAAAGATTCTCTTCAAAATTCTGGAAACATTTTCTTTAAATGTTTCATACTACATCAACAAATAGAAAAACTAAATATTTATTGTCAGTACATGTTTATTGATATTGCTTCAGTCCTAATTATTATCACGTGGAGCACATAATCATAACAAAATTTTATCTATTTATATTGTTTCATCATTCTTTTTTTTGCTTGTTTTAATTAGCGAGAAAAAAAAAACAATTAAATTTTTTCTTTTTGTATTTTAAACTATACAATAAGTTTTTAATATTAACTTTTAATTGAATAGAAATGTATTAAATTAAACCAATCATTATAATCTATTATTTTTTTTATGAAAAAAAATGATATTCATATGCACATGATGTCCAAAAAAGGAAGTTGTAGTTTTTAGAAATAACCATAAGATATATGTGAATAACGATCTTATTCGACATATAACTAATTATACTACTGGTGTTTTGATAATGATAAAATGTCAATTTAACTCTATTCTTTCTTACATTTATCAAAAAGAGAAACCTTATTTGTACCTGTCATAATTTGTATCTCTAGTGTTTTGATGTCTACTTTTGATTATGTACAACATATAATATCGTTTGCTTGTTTATCATTCTAAGAATAGAATGATATTTGATATATTCGATGTATGATACAAAGAATGTTATATCGTTTTTATAGTCTTTTCGTTCTCTGTAGGACATTCTATAGTAAATACTATGCCTTATTAAGATAAATCAATATAATCTTTGATATTATTTTATTGAATATTTTTAGACTGCAAAAGTCGAACAAACTCAAACACATTCACTTGAAACAGAGGAAAATACGCATCGAATTATAAGTAAACTTGTCAATATTGTATTGACTGTTTTTGCTATTATTCTTCTAATTTTATCAACAATAAAAAATCTTGTTCAATCACGGTGAATAAATATATATATATATCATACGAATTCATAATTCTTATTCTTTCTTTTTTTTTCTTTATATTTCTATCTAGTGTTCATGCCATGACTTTGTTAATTCTGGTCATTGTTTGGATAACATTTCATTATTTACCTCAAAATTATTTCCAGACAACATTTTTAAAAAGTAAATAAATTAAACAATTAATGATTATATTTATTTATATAAATATTCTTATTTTAGACTTTCCAAATATGTTCAAAAGAACATCATGAAACATTATCTCCGAGTGATAAAAAAAAACGGTTTTTTTTTTGTGTTCTTTTTGCTTTTTTTTTGTTTTGTGCAATTTGTATACTTGAGTTTTGTTTTCTTCCTTTGCTCTTGTCTTCGTGTGTGTGTGGAAAGGCCTGCTGGTCTGGCTCTTATACATTTTGTGTTAGTTTTAGAATTTTCTTTCTTCTAACGATAAAATCAATTATGAGCATAATATTTTCCTCGTATAAACTGTAATTGTATGTTCATTTTGTTTTTTATTGTACATTATCTTAAGATCTAGTCGTTTGTTTTTTTCTTCAATGCATTTATCACACATATTCAAATCTAAACCAAATTAGGCTCAACATTGCATAAGAATATTTGTGTGAATATATCTAAACATAATACAATTACTATGCTGCCTTTCCTTTGTTTTTGTGTCGTCTATTTTCAAATTATATTACACGAGCTAGTAAAATCTCTTTAATTTTTTTTTAATAATCAGCATAATGTCGCTGTCGGTCGGTGTTCACAATGTTCTTTTTTGTCTATTGGCTGTTTGTACCTAATAATAATAATAATAAGACTGTAGAAAAGAAAAAGAAAGAAAGAAAAAAAAGAAAGAAAGAAACGAAGTAGTAAGAGACAGTTGACTAACTATGAGTTATTGTAAATGCAGAAAGAAAAAAAAAAGTAGTTGTTCAGATAAAAACATTGTTATTGTTGTTAGACGTCGCTGAGATTGTTTTTCTATATTATTATTGTCACGAAGCATATCAAATAAATCAGACAGACAAAGTGTGACAATTAAGACACCATCAACTCCCTATTTCATTTTCTTCTGGCTTTTTCGTCTTCTATAACAATATGAGAACATGTCTGATGATACCGCTGTTTCTTTCTTTTTTCATTTTGATTGATAGAATGGGCCATTAGTTACGCGATTGATTGCATAACGGAATAAATGAAGAAAGAAAATTCGACCAATATATATATGGTTACATTTAAAACATTTCATTGTAATTGAGTCTCTATTATAGAAATTGTTTGTTGTTTTTTTAGATCATAAATAAGTGATTGTTACTTTGTATTATCATACTCATTTATTTCGACAAATTATTGTGATGGTATCAAGTCTACTTGCTCGTTGTATCATGTAAGATTATTTATGTAGATTTTTATTAATAATAATTACATTTTACATGATATTATAGTGTAACCATCGGTACACTGTATCCCGGATATCGATCATACAAATCACTTATTAATGCAGATTTACGCGAAGTGGTATGAATTATAAATGAAAATTTTATTCAAGTTAACAAAATTTTAATTTCTAATTTATTATTCTAGGTTAATTGCCTTCGATATTGGATTGTATTTTCTATATTTCTTGCATGTGAAACAGTAACTGATGTTTTTTTATCATGGTATAAAATCCAGAAAAGAACATAGAACAGAATTGTTTTTAATATTGAATTAATTTTTTAGGTTTCCATTTTATTATTGGATTAAAATTATTCTTGTACTTTGGATGATTTCACCAGCTGGCTCAACACTTTTATACAAACGTTTTGTTCAACCGGTGCTTAAAGAACGTGAACAAGTATATTTTATTATTTCTTGTTTATTTATTGAAAGATAAATACATATTGAACATATTTAGGAAATTGATCAATTACTTGAACAAACTAAACAAAAAGGCTATTCGACATTACGTGAATTAACTAGTAGAAGTGTTCGATATGCATCAAATATGTTTTTAAATACGGCTGTATTAGTAAGATTTTTAAGTTAATAGAAATTTATTTTATTTTCATTTTTTTGACAAAAAGGGTCAAGCATATCTTGGTGAACATTTGAAACGTTCATTAAGTACAAGTGATCTTGATAGTAGTCCAACAAAAATTTTTTTCAATCCACCTGAGACATTATTAGAAGAAGACGAAGGTTTGTTTTTTATTGTTTAATTGTAAAATACTATTTCATTTTTTTTTTTTTCTAATAGAAATCGAGCAAAAAGTAAATAAACGTTTGAAGGAAGGTCAGAATCATACATCAAAAGGCAAAAATAATACTAATCGGCGACAACCGTCACGTAAGTGTATCATTTAAATAATCAAGGTTAATATAAAATGTGAAACTATACAAATTGGTTTTTTTTTTGTCTTGATTCTATATAACTTGAATAGTTACAATTCTCACAATTTTTATAAATTAATTCCATCTTCAAATATGAAATGCATTCGATCTTTCGATCAATTTTTTTTTTACTTATAGTAGAGAATATATCATTTTTTGAATAATTAAAAAAAAATTTCAAATATATTTTGAAGACAAAATTGAAGTCAATGACAAATCTATTCATAATATATCAAATATCATAAATTTATTTACATCATAAAAGATCAATTGTTTATCCTTCATTAAAATAATAGTTCTTTCTTTTCTTCGACAATATCTATCCTTCATGTTAAGAGTTTGTTATTTCAATACAACAGAAGTAAATAATATGGTTTCATACAAACTTTAATGTGAATGCAAAACTTCATAAAGAATCCATGAAAAAAAATCGATACGCCGTAAGTGACATACGCATCATGAAACAATATTATTAACAGCATATGCTCTGATCAAGGACCTTTAGATGATAAATATATAGACAAGAAATACAATAGAACAAAAATTTTTAAAATTCTTTAACTATATAATTTATTATTTAATTAATTGTAAATTTAATGTAATTCTTAATATATTCAAATTGACAAAGTTTTCTTTGTTGAAACTGACATTCTAACATGATACATTTAAAAAATATGATTTTCTCTACTTCATAAACATTCATATCTATTAATTAATTCTAATATAAAATATTTATGAACTAATAAAGATTTATTATCAATATATACTACTATGTTATTAACTAATAGTAGATGACATTGATATAGAAATGAGATAAATTCATCGTATTTTTTCACTATTGAGTATGTGTCTGATATGATTATTTTGATTGTTAATGATATTTTGGAATTCTTTAATGTTAGATTGTTCGTTTTATTTTTCTGAATGATAAATGAAAGAATAAATAGAAAATAGGTATAAAAAGAAAAGAAATATATATATATATATATTACTTTAAAATTCAGTAATTTTATATTAAACTTACAATTCTAAATAAAAATTTTGTTTGTTTTTTTTAGACCAAAGAGAAAAATCAGATAATACGACTAATAATTCATTAGGTGAATCAAAAATGTCAGAAGATATAACTCATAAAAAACAACGTACAGAAAACAAGACAAATGCCGTGGTTTATGCATCAAATGAAGTAAATATTGATTTTTATTTTTTCA